TTTAGTCAGGCACATTTTGCTCTGGCCGAGCCTCGTGGTCTGCAAGGATGAGCTAACTTGCCTTTGCTCTTTCCCTTGAGATGAGATTCTCCTGCAGGTGCTTTCCAAAGACCCATACTACACCAGTTTGGTTGAAGGAGGGACCGCAGTCACCGGGAGCCACTTGAATGAAAGCAAGTATATGTCATGAGCCTTGTGAGTGTCCTTTTCCATAGGCCTGTGCGGTGTCCTAGGGGAGTGTGGTGTCATTTAGCATTGTGGAAAGCAGCTGCTGGTGGGGAAAAGCATTTGAGATGTGGAGGGAGGAGCTGTCTGAATCCTCTCACAGCTTTCCATCAGCTGTGGGAGCCTCCAATGTTCTAAAGTGAGATTATCCCTAAATTTGGGGTGATCCTTGATGTGCAATGTCAAGCCAGTTCTGTCACTTGCGACACTGCTCAGAAGACAGGAACCTGATTTGCAGGTGGTCTCCTATTTCCTGTCCCATGAACCCTGAGGTGTAAAATAATTTCCCACTTGACACACTTTATACTTGAATGTGCATGGAGTGGTTTGAGCCAGTTTGTTCATTAATATTTCCTTCAATGAAAGCTAAGCCCAGAAACGACTTACCCTTGGTATTTCCCTAGAAGTCACAAAAATGAAGAACATACTCTAACCCAAAGTAGCTTCATATTATTGGAAAATAAAAAGTATCAGTTTGAGCATTAAGATATGCACAGGTGGGGCTCGGGATGTAGCTCAAGTGTTAGCGCACTTGCCTGGCATGCATGAGGCACTGGGTTCGATCCTCAGCACCACATAAAAATAAAGACATTGTGTCCACTTAAAAACTAAAAAAATAAACATTAAAAAAATATATGCACAGGTAATCAGGATGAAATTGTGTACCTGAAATCTGCCCACTGTAATAAAAGTACCCCAGCTTGCATGGGAATTAGCCCTCTTGCTATTATGCACACAGGTGGACATTCTATTTCCTGACAATAATTTTCCATATGCCCTACCTGGGCTTTTCACAACCAGGAGACAAGTGATGTGTCTTTACATTGCTATAGTACCTCTCCAACACATAATTCTGCCTTCAAGTTGGATTCTATGTTAGCATCGTAACCTAAAAAAATATAAAAGAAAACGCAGGCCCAACATGCTCCTACATGTGCACTAAAGAAAATCGTTTTTTCTCTCTCTTTTCCAAATGTGTCATCAAAGGAGCCCGTGATGTCTGGAATTCTCCCAAACCAGAATATTTTCCTGGCACTGTGTATCAAATCTCAGAAAACGGTAAATAAAAATGGATAACATTGGAGTGGGGGCAATAAGGAATAGTTCTTTTTCCTCCTGCCAAAGCTTGGAACCAAATATCTAGCCAGGTCATGCTTGAAGAGTTGGAGTCAAATTCTTCTATAGAGAGAACTTGTCTGGATGCTGTGGGAAGAGTGTGCAGTCCCTGGTCAGGTGGAGGGTACAGTGGGTACCTGCTATGGTTTGGATATGAGGTATCCTCCCAAAACTTCTGTGTTAATTCAGGAATGTTCAAAGGTGAAACGTTTAGATTTTGAGAGCTGTAACCTAATCAGTGGATCAGTCCATATTGATGGATTAGTAATTTGCGAGGACTATAGGCAGGGTGTGTGGCTGGAGGGCATTCTCCAGACCCCTCGGCACCCTCCTGCTTCCTGGCCACTGTGAATCACAGCAGTTTTTCTACATGCTTCTGTCATGATGATCTGTCTCACTTCAGGAAATCCGCTGACCATCGCTACACCTTTAAAACTGTGAGCTCAAATAGACTTTTCTTCCTCTACGTTGTTCTTGCCAGGTATTGTGGACACAGCAACAAAGAGCCTAATTCATACAACACCCTGTGAGAATCTCCCTGTGTTAAATGTGCAAGGGAGAAGAGCAGACCCCAATGTCTAGTCTCTGTAGCAGATGGATGCCCAGGAGGAGGGGAAGGAGCTGGCCCCAGCACTGGATCCCTCCTCCCAGATGTTCCAGCAAGGCCCCTTTGTTCTCCTGTGTGGTGGGTCTTGGGAGGGGCTGAGCACATTCCTGAGTGCCACCCTGAGGAACTTTCTCCATGGGAAAATGCTCCTGCCAGCCAGTGGCCCAAGGCTCACTTTATTCTAATCATAGCACAGTCAGATTGGCTCCAAGGACAGGATGAGCAGCTAGAGCCCCACAAAGCATTTCCTCCTTTGAAAAATCTATGAGGGAAACAACAAGAGAAAAGAAAAGCCAAGTATGTCATCGTCTGAGCTGGCAAATATGGGGTCTTTCCTGGGACCAGGTGTATGAACAGGTGTGGCGGTTCTTATATCCCACTGTGACCCAGCCACAGGAGTGGAGAGTGGGGGATGGGAAGAGCTACTCAAAATCCTCAATCCTGGAACCCAGCAAGAGTCTCTGAAAGTGAAGCCCAGAAATGTGCGGATTTTTACATATTCCACCCATTCCACCCGTGACTGTTCTATAGGGACCAAATATTGGACCCTGACATTTGGAGCTGTTGACTTAGGATACTATTTGGGGATTGATAGTCAATTCTAGATATCCTATCATGTCATCTGAACATAGAAATTATTTTACTTCTTTACAAATTTTTATGCTTCTGATTTCTGTATCATGTTTAATTGCATTGTTAGTATGTCCAGGACAGTCTTGAGTAATAGTGGAGATAATAGTTTTATCCTGTACTGTCTGTCTCTTAAAACAAATGCCTATAGTGTTTCTTGAATAGGAGAGAGGTTATGAGACTAATATGAGAAAGAGATATCTATCCAGCCATCTAACCATCCATCCACACAGATAGATAAATTCATACCGAGAATGTATCTTTACATTTCTATTTGCTCAACATTTTTAAAACCAAGAATGGATATTGAATTTTGTCAAAAGTTCTTCTAGTAGCTGTGAAACTAATCATGACTTTCTCCCCTTAAGTCTATTAATATTGTGCGTGATGTTAGTGGGTTTCCTAAGGTTGAGCCACTTTGCATTCCTGGAATAAATCCCACTTGGTCACAGTGATGTTTGGTGACTCCGGTCACTGATCAGGAGCTGTGGGCCAAGGGCCAAGGGCCGACTTTTGCCTGCTTCAGCATATCTGTGCCATCACTCAGAGGTGTCCTGGGTAGTAGGTCTCCTCTAACCAACCAGGAAACAGGAGTAGGCTCCTGGTCTCTATGTGGCTATATGGAATAAGACACGATTTGTAACTTTAATTATCAATATATATGATGTGTTTCTCCATTTGTATTTTAAAAAATTGCTTATTGTGGTTAAAATACTTAGAACAAAATTTATCATGTTAACCATATGTAAGTGTACATTCCAGTGTTATTAAATGCATTCATAATGTTTTGCCACCATCTCCAATATCAATCTCTATGACCTTTTTCATCTTATAAAACTGAAACTCTGTATCAATTAAAAAATAATTCCCCCTTCCCTCCCCCCCTCTGTCCATTGGCAACCAACACTCCACTTTGATGCCTCATTAGTGGAATCATACAGTATTTGTCTTTTTATGACTGACTTATTTCACTTACCATAATGTTCTTGATGTCTATCAATACTGTAGCATATGACAAAAAATCATTTTCTTTTTTAAGGCTGAATTATATATATATATGCCATGTATTGCTCATCCATTTGATGTTCACTTTACCTGCGTCCATATTTTAGCTCTTGTAAATATCCTGAAGAAATGTCTCCATCAGAAAACTTCTTTTGGGACTATAATGTTAGGTTGAATCATTTGAAATTATTTGTTTGTGGGCCCAAAATAGTGAAATATCTACAATTTCATTTGGCTCAATCAAATATTTCTGAAACCATCCTTATTAGTGTACAGGTCATATTCCATGTCCAGGCTTCCTGCAGAGTATAACCCTCAGAAAGGGAGTCACTTCTTTTCATTCACAATTTTTACAGAATGGCCCAGCTAGCAGGTTCAAATCTTTATGTTCATAGGGACAGAAATGACTGTTTACTCACTGTGTTCCTCAGAATCCCATTTCTATTGTTGTTTTAACATATGTCCACCATCCTTTGCGACCTGTCCCTTCCAAAGGTGAAGCTGCCCATGAGTGTGAGCTACATTTTGTGCCTTATTTCTTAGGAGTAGAACATGGCAGAAGCAATGGTGTACTACTTTGTAGATTAGGTGATAAAAGACATTGTGGTTTCTGCCTTGGCATCTCTTGAATCTCTTGCTCTAGTGGAAGTCAGCTGCCATGTTGGGAGGGTATTTAAGCAGTTTGAGGAGACTCGCTCTGGTGGAAGTCAACTGCCATGTTGGGAGGACACTCAAACAGTCTGAGGAGACTCTGGTGGAAGTCAGCTGCCATGTTGGGAGGACACTCAAGCAGTCTGAAGAGAGAGGCTTTTGTGAGGAACAAAGCCCCCTGACTACAACCAGTGAGGAAGGAAGGCCTGTGCTAAATGCTTTATGAGCAAGCCATTGGGAGCATATCTTCCTGTTGGTCAGCCTTCAAATGACTGTAGTCTTGGCCCACAAGACAGGGTTGTCTGGGTGGTTCTAGCTCAGGGTCTCTCATGAGTTATGAGATTCTTGAAGATTCATTTTCCTTCAAGGCTCAGTACCTAGTATTTCCTATAGGGTCATAGGCACTATGCTGAAGCTCAAGAGCTAAATGAGGTGTTCTTGTCCTCCAGGAGCTTCCAGATATAGAGGCAACCTAGTCAATAAATAATAAATGATGACTTGGTAGAGTTCTCTCCTAGCATGAGCAGGACCTGGGTTGGATCCTTAGTACTTATAAAAATAAAGGCATTGTGCTGTGTCCACCTAAAAATTGAATAAATAAAAATTAAATGTTAAAAAATTAAAAAATAAATAATAATGAGTAAATATAAATGGGTTAAAATTGAAGGTATTTAAAAAGTGATTTGGTTTTATCTGCATAGAATTTTGGGAAAATAAAAGCCAGGCAGATCTCTGATATTTTTTTTTTTCTCTGCTGAAGACTAAACTCAGGGCCTTACACATGTTAGGCAAGCTGTCCTTCTGAAGTACATCCCCAATCCTTTAAATTTTTTTAAAATGTTGAGAACAGGGGGTTTCTTAGTTATCCAGGCTGGCCTTGAACTTGTGATCCTCCTGCCTCAATCTCTTGAGTAGCTGGGATTACAGGGTGCACCCCTACCCTTGAAAGGGCAAGGCAAGCACAATCTCTTTGTGGCCTGACGCCGTGTTACCCAGGGTGCTCTGTGACAAGTTGGCCTTTTCAAAGCCAAGTAATTGTGAATCATATTAAACTGGGAGTTTCCTCTCTTTTCTAAGCCAAATCGAATAAGGAACAAATTCCTCTCTTTTTCCTAGCACTAATCAGAACTTCATGAGACTGTTATCACACACACATAGTATGCTTAGTCACATAGTGAAAATCCTTGATTCCTTGGAGAACTAGGCCAAGGGAGATGTACCAAACTCACCCACAACTGCCGCTCCGCCTCTCGGAGTCTCCCACCTGAGCTGGGGCTCCAGGCTGGCTTGAAGTCTTCTGTAGGATCGGAGTCATTGCTTCTTGGCTTCTTCCATTCCTTTTTTGGTAGGTGTGCTTCTCAAAGGCTGAAGAGTCCACACAGATTTCCCAAGAGCTCCCACCCGTTGGTTCTGGTTTGTTCTGTGGAACTTCTCAGAAGCCCTCTCAGCCTCTTTCCAGGCCATTCCTGCATCTGGCAAAGCCCAGCTCTCCTGGCCTCCCCATCCTCCAAGCTGAATGCGCTTGGGCTCTTTCCTGGGTCTCATACAGATGAGTCAGAGACAGCCAGTGGCAGAGCTAGGATGCACGGATTTCTCACTTTAAGCCCGTCTTCTTACTCCTCAACCATTCTGCACTCCCTCTACTAATAAATATTTCAGTGTGGTTCATTTTCCCATTTTCTCCTTGCAATTTGGAAATCATTTTGTACCGTACTTTGTGGTTTAATTATTTTCACAGACCTCATGATATCTGTGAGGCAGGTCTTTTTATTTCTATTTGATGTAAGTGGAGATGGAGATAGACTCCAAGAGGCTTAGGGGAGTGGCTGGAGGGTCTTTACGAGGTCCTGCCTCTCTGTGTGGTCCCAATCAGCAGAGGCACCTCTCTGGGTATGTGAGATATGCATGCTCTCACTAAAGAACTACGGAGTCGGAAACTCTGAAGTAAAGTCCTCCCACTGATTTGGATGCATGATCCCCTAAGAACCATGTCCTTGGTCAAGCGCAAGTGATCTGAGAGTTTGTTAGATTAAAAAAATTAAACCAAAACATTGATCTGTAGTATATTTAGACTCTTCTTCAAAATCCAAACTCCTCACTTGGACTCTTAGAAGAAGCATATTTTCATCATCCAAACAGAATGAGTCACTGGCCAATGGTTGGTTGTAGGTGAACACAAATGTTTTTGGCTTTCTATCACTATAATGAAATACCTGAGTTAATCAATGTAAAGAAAAAGTTTGGCTCACAGTTTGGAAGATTCCAGCCTGTGATCAATTGGCCCTATTATTTTGGGCCTGTAGCAAGGCAGCACATTGTGGCAGGAGTGCCTGGTGGACCCAACTGCTCACCTCATGTCTAGGAAGCAAGAGAGAGAGCAGGGAGGGGGCTGGGGTCTCACAGTCCCCAGTGACCTAAAGACCTCCCACTAAGCCCCGCCTCTTAAAGGTTCCAACACCTCCCAAGAGCGCCACCCTAAGGACATTACTGATCCGGCAACTTATCATCCTTTTGTCTTTTGTAGATCTCATTGCAGGAAAGAAGAAGGATAAACAATCCTCTCTGTTCCACAGAGCTGTCACTGAGCTGTCACTGACTACTGTAGATACGGAGAGTCTTCATGGAACAGTTAGTCAAGGTAATAATCCATACAGCTTAAGCTAAGTAGGTTCCTGGAGTGCAGAAGACTCCTAAGCTAAGTAGGTTCCTGGAGTGCAGAAGACTAGTTTACCTGAATAGATGTCAGCTCACTTTTCATTCTCCTGCAAGTTAAGACTAGAAATTAGGGCTGGGGATGTAGGTCCCCGATAGATAGAGTGCTTTCCTGGGATGCCTGAGGCCCTGGGTTCCATCCCAACTCTGCAGGAAAAATAAAAAATGAAAAACTAACACAACTAAGAATTGAATGAACTCTAGGAATTTGGCCACCCTTTTATAAAGAGGTCACTTTTATTTTGTTTCTATTCAGAGCATGGACATGGTCTTCTGAGCCCCTGCCCCTGCTGAGCTCTGAGGCTCTCTGAAATGCAGGAGGGATTGAGGGTCACAGGTTGGCCTTGCCCTAAAATACCTGGCTCCTTCCTCCCTCCTGGAGCACCTGAGCTCAGGCCTGTTCAGAGTGGGGAGAGACTTGCCCAGCACGCCCCTGCACACAGCTGTTCTCTATCAGAATTATGCCCAGTGTCCCTTCGTCTCTTAGAAATTGAATGCTGGCTGGGCGCAGTGGCACACACCTGTAATCCCAGCAGCTCGGGAGGTGGAGGCAGGAGGATCGTGAGTTCAAAACCAGCCTCAGCAACAGTGAGGTGCTAAGCAACTCAGTGAGACCCTGGCTCTAAATAAAACACAAAATAGGGCTGGAGATGGGGCTCAGTGATTGAGTGACCCTGAGTTCAATCGCTGGTACCAGAAAAAATGAACCGATGCTGAACGATTCCCAGAGAGCCCTTGGAGTGGCTCATCTGCTGCCTCCTGACCGAGCAGAGGTGAAGGTTCTGGATGTGCCCAGTTTTCTCCATGTAACCCAGGAAAGCTAAGGCCAGCGCACTCCTGCCCACACCCCCCCACCATGGCACTCAGCATCTGTCCACATTGCACCAGCTGATTCTTGTCCTGGATTGAACCCAGGGGCACTTAACCACTGAGTCACATCCCCAGCCATTTTTTTTTGTATTTTATTTAGAGATAGCATCTTGCTAAGTTGCTTATGCCCTCACTTAGTTGCTGAGGCTGGCCTTGAAGCTGTGATCCTTCTACCTCAGCCTCCTGAGCTGCTGGGATTACAGGCATGTACCACTGTGCCCGGCTCCTGCCTCCATATTTAAAAAAATTATTTTTTATTTTTTTATGGTGCTGGGGATGGAACCCAGGCCCTGGATCATGCTAGGCAAGTGCTCTACCACCGAGCTCCCTCCCAGCCCTAACCTCAGGTGCTCTTAAAAGCCTTTGCAATAGGGCTGCTTCACCTCCTGCAGTGCTCCTGCCTCTTCTCCTCCTTGGAACTCACCTCTGTTCTCACCTCCTCATTTCTGGCTGCTTTTTTGTTCGCCAACCAGTACCCTCAGCCCCTCATCTCACCACCAGACCATGTGCAAGTGTCTTTCCCTAAACAAAGCCAGTTCCATCCTGGACAGGATTTCTGGCCCTGGCTACCGACATGCTGGTATTTTAACTTCTGCTCTGGGTGAGCTGCCAGGTTGTCCCTGCGGATCAGGTCCTGGGTGTGGGTTGCCCTCTCCGTGTACTCTCGGTGTACTCTGTGTCTGTCTTCTCCTTTAGACGCTCGCAACAGGAACCTGCCGTGCGGGCCACTTCTGCACTTCCTGCAAAAGAACATCATCGTTGCGGCCCTCGCAGCGGTGGCGATCCTCGCGGTCATCGTGCTGTTGCTGTTCATGTTGGCCACGTACATCAGGAGGAAACAGCCTATGTGAGTGCTCCGTGAACTCAGGGGTGTGTGACCATGCTGTCCTGGAGCTCCTTGCAGTGCCAGATTTGGGAGGAGGGCAGGAAGCCTGGTTTTGCACATAGAACCCCTGCTTCCTGCATTTAGCCACTGCCTGGGTGAGTCTGATGTACACGCAGGCGCTGGGACACCTGACTGGGACTGTGCTTGCCAGACCTACTCCATATTGAGGGCTACTGAAAGAGGAGATGGTGTAGGCACAGACTGGGCAATCGGGAGCTGGGAGTGTGGATGCAGACAAGAAAAGACAAAGTCCAAGCTGGGTGTAGTGGTGCACACCTGCAATCCCAGTGCTTTGGGAGGCTGAGGCTGGACGATCCTGAGTTCAAAGCCAGCCTCAGCAACAGCGAGGCGCTAAGCAACTCAGTGAGACCCTGTCTCTAAATAAAATACAAAATAGGGCTGGGGACGTGGCTCAGTGGCTGAGTGCCCCTGAGTTCAATCCCTGGTACCAAAAAAGAAAAAAAAAAAAACCCCACAAAGTCCAGCTTATAAGAGGGTGGGAGAGATGGAGCCTTGGAGGAGAGATGGAATTCAGCTCTTTCACCCTGGAACAGCTGCACTGGTTGTGAGAATGTTGCTGAATAATCACTTCTGGAACCTCCCGTAGGCTTCCCCACCATCCGCTAAGTGGAGGGTTGGTACCTGCACAGCACTGGACTTGGGAGGCAAGACTCCAACAGTGGTTATTCTAACTGTCTCTGGATAATGACCCAAGCATGGAGACTTGAACCTGGGGCAGGCACTAGGAAGCAAATAGGTTACAAGATGTGCATAATTGCATGTGCATGGTTAACTTCAACATTATGAGTCTCTCTCGGCAGCCAGGGAGAGGTGCATTCCTGGGCATGGAGGGGAGAGCATCTCCTCCCAGGCCCCTCACTGTGGTTTGTTCAGGTTGTCTCCAGAGAACAGGGGACGTGTGATGAGGGATAGGTCCAGCCCCTGCCTCCACCTGCTCTGGCTCTGAGGCTACAGTACCTAAGTTTCCCCACAAGGGGGCAGTGCTTTCCCTCCAGGCCAGGGCCCTGGAGCCTGGTAACCTACTGTGGACACCACTACCACCTCACATCCTCCTCTGAGACCTGAGTGGGTCCCTCAAGCCAAGGGGCGACCTTGAACGTGGCGGAGGTTTGAGGTAGAGGATGTAAGAGCTTCTGGGCACAGGCCTGACCCTGGCTGCAGTTCTGTCCAGGACTCATTCCTCAGACCTGCTGTTCCCCCCCCCCCCCTTCCCTTGAGGTACCAAAATGAGCCAGAATGGTGGCTCCAGCTACAGAAAGGAGTTACTGCTTGTGGGTGGCAGGTGTCAAAATGGGGCCCTGGGAATCCTATCCATGTCCAGCCACGCTGAGAGGAAGCAGGACCCTGGCCTCTCAGGAACACTGGCTCCTGTCCCGTCCAGGCAACAGACAGTGGGAATCCCCGCACAGTCCGTGCACAGCGCGGTGTATTGTGTTGTTTTTGTTCTTTTGTTTTAGACATCCTCCAGCCCATATGACGTACAACATTTTTATAATGAATGGAAAGACGTGGTGGCAGAAATCTCCCGAAGCGGATATCAGAAAAATCGTAGAGAAACAGAAACAGTTGAGGCCCGATTCCTGTGCCTAAGCCACGTCAAGGGGCCAGCCAAACCAGGACTCAGAACCATGCCGCGAGGAGATTCTGGATCCAGACACCATGGAGAGGCCACTGCATTTCTGGCTGCGAGGAGGTGTATTCTACAGAAATGTGTACCTTCTCTTCCCGACCTTGGATGTACCGAGAACGAGGGCCTCCTCACCCCAGGCTGCCTCTGGTGACATGGCCTCATGACCAGTGCAGGAGACTTCGCACATTTACCCAGAGGGGAAAAAAAAAATGACAAACGATGAGAGATTGACTCATTTCATGAAGCACGGATTGATTTGTCCAGTCATTCACTGCAGAGGGATTAACTGAGCACCTATTAGGTAGACAACATCCAAATACAACGTGGTACTCCCAGAGAAGCCAGGTCTGGGGCCTTCACAGTGGTGGAGGAGAACAGGGCCCCACCAAATCCCTTTTACCCTTTTCAAGTAGAAATATACAAAGAAATGGAGAAGAGTGTGGCAATGCCTGGGGGGCGGGGGTTATAGTTCCTGCTTGGAAAAGGAAATGGGGCTATTGGAAGTGTCATGAGGGTCTGGACAGCGAGGGAAAAGCCACAGAGACTTGGGAAGAACTTGGAGCGAGCAAGAGAGGGGAGCTCTGAGCCTCAGGGCAGGAACACAGCAGTAAGAGACGCCCCAGGGAGCCTCTGCTGGTGCCGCCTTCAGTGGAGGTGTGCGGGCAAATCTTAGCCACCCCCTGGGAAGAGGCTGGGGGCTCAGCCCTGGCACTGGTGCTGCTCCTGCCCTTTGAACCCCCCAAGTGACTTTCACTGGCCAAGCCCAGCAGGAAGCTAGAAGGCCGGGAGGTCACTGTGCGGTTCATCAACCTTCCAGGGCGCACAGCAGGGTCGGAAGGAGGGTGAACCCAGAATATCCAGTACTGTTCAACACTTGGCTCCATCAGCACCCATTTTTCCCCCTTTGGGTACCAGGGATTGAACCCCAGGGCGCTTAACCACCAGGCCACATCCCCAGCCCTTTTTATATTTCATTTAGAGGCAGGGTCTCCCTGAGTTGCTTAGGGCCTCACTAAGTTGCTGAGGCTGGCTTAGAACTCACCGTCCTCCTGCCTCAGCCTCCTGAACTGCTGGGATTACCGGAGGCGTGCGCCACCACGCCTGGTTCAACATCCATTTTTGTCCTTTTTAATGAATGAAGATTCCAAACTCCACCCCTGCCACGTGGGTGACACAAAGTCCCTAGAGCCGTTTGCCACTGAAGCATGGTGTCAGTCCGGTCATGGTTCCACTGAGACGTCGAACATTGATCATTATAGTGTTCTTGAAAGAAGGAACTGGGGGGAAAAAAGGGACGAGAGAGAAAAATAACAGTGACAGTCTGTCTCTGCAGGGGTAACTGGCCACAGCTTCCCCTCCTCCTGCCCACCCCACTTACTCGGTCTCTTAGCACCTCGGCCACATGGGTGTCATTTCCTGGTGGAATGTTCCAGCCACCCGTGTCCGTCCCTCCTTAGCGCATCTCGCTTTGGGTTTCCTGCAGTTTGCACTGAAAGGGACCCTTGATATGGGACTCCTGGCTGTCTCCGGGCGACCTCTGGGTTCTAGATTACCCTCCTGGGTGTGTTCACAGGACAGCACCCCGTTTCCCCTGGGTGAGCAGGCCCTCGTGCAGAATGAGGCGAAGAGCAGCAAATAACTCGGGTGGGTTTCATCAAGTGGTTTAATGGAAACTTTCCCTCTATGGCAAAGTAGAACACTTTATTTTAGCATTAATATCTAGCACCTAAGCAATAGGTTATTTTTTGAAATTTTTTGGTTTGTTTTTTTTTTTTAGATATAACAGGTGTGTGTGGACATGGAGTATATATATATTTTTTTTAAAGAAAATTTTTAAATTTTTAGTTTTCAGTGGACACAACATCTTTATTTTCTGTGGTGCTGAGGATTGAACCCAGCGCCCTGTGCACGCCAGGCGAGCGCGTGATTACTTGAGCCACACCCCCAGCCCTGCATGGAGTCTATCTTATTCTGATTAGGATTCCGTCTGTGGTTGTCCGTGATCTGCAGTAACCCTGGTCATGTATTCCTCCATGAACTAGAAGAGGTGTCCCCTCATTCCACTGTCTTTCCTACATCCACTGCCCTCGCTTCCTTTAGTCTCCCTTTGTCTAGTCCAATGAGCTTTTATTCTCCCCCCCCCCACCCCCACTATGTGTTAGCATCTGCATATCAGAGAGAATATTCGGCCTTTGGCTTTTGGGGATTGGCTTATCTCACCTGGCACAGTGATCTCCAGCTCCATCCATTCACCGCAGATGCCATCATTGATTGTCTCAACACACCACTAAACCAGTCAGGTCACTCCAGGTGAACCGTGTTGGCACAAAGTAGTCACACAGAGACAGAGAGAGACCTTTATCTCTGGGTTCTGTGAGGGCTCCTCTGACCCAGCTCCACAGGAGGCAAGGCGGGCAGGAAAGAGAGCAGCCTCGAACCCGGGTTCCACTGGGGGAGGCTGTTCCATGGAATATTCTATCCCCAAAACGGCAAAGGGGTAGGATTACAAAGGAACAGGTGAGTGTAACTCAGCCCCAGCGGGTAACGCCTGCTCCTGGAGCCAGGCCTGGGGTAACGCCCAAGCTACTGCGACCTGGCACTACCACGCCAGACTGAAGGCAATAATCGTTCAGAACCTGGTGCATCAGACTTCAAGGCGTCGGTATCCAGGATGGCTCCCTATACTTTATGGCTGAGTAATATTCCATCGTGTATCGCGTTGTCTTTATCCATTCATCTGTCGATGGAGTCCAGACTGTGGAGCTCCCACGATCTAGTCAACTTCCACAAAGCCTCCCCTCCTTCAATACTGCCACACGGGGGACCAGACTTCCAACATGCGAACCTTTGGGACGCTCAAGCCACAGCAGTAACTTCAGCATAGACAGAGGCCGGGTGATGGCTGGGGAAGGGCTCCTGGGGCTGCTGCTTTGTGACTGTGGCTCCCTGGCACATAGCAAGCCCTTGGTGAGCCAATCTTCTCACACTTTACACACTTTTATATCCAGGTCATCTTGTCCCCATTCTTCCTCCTCTGTGAAGGTGCAGGGGACTTCGTTTTTTCCAAGTCCCCATCTGCTAGCCAGACGAGAGCCACTATCCGTAAATTCCCGTAGAGCAGTGAGTCTTAATCTGGGGCAGCTGGACACGGCTGGGGACATGTTTTGTAGTCATGCTGCAGGGAAGGGGTGCTCCGGCACCCCAGGGTGGAGAGGCCAAGGGCGCAGCTCACCCAGCAGGGAATTCCCCAGCTCAAAATGCCACTGGCTGAGCTCAGACCCTGGTGTGGCTCTGAGGCTGGACGGTCCCACTGAGATGTCCTCCCTCACGGTCCCTCAAGTCTCCCCCGAGCGCGTCAGTAGTGTGACTGGTGTCCACCTCTGGGTGGCACCCGGGTGCTTTGTGGAGTCACTTGTCACCCAGGCCCATCTGTGTTCCTCCTGTGTGACTGTGCAGGGGACTTCTCATGACATCGAGGACCGTGCAGTGGGCGCGTGAGAGCAGCTAGGATGGGAGCCTGAGCCGCCAGTTAGGTTCATCCTCCGCCTGTTCTTAGGCACGGTCACGTGCTGATGGACACGGGGATACCGTCTGAGATGTGCTCACAGGTGGTTTCATTGTTGTGTCCTTCCACAGGCCGGGCTGCCTGAGAATTCCCTGGGCAATGTCACCTTAGGGGAGCGCTGTCACATCCTACAGTCCTGAAGCATCATGATGTCGTCCCTGTACGTGGAGGTGCCCCATGATCTAGAGGCTCAGATAACACCCAATGTGGGTGGTGTGGGGTATTCGGGTGGCCGGCCACTTGGTGTCCGGCCCCTGCCAGGACTCAGTCAGAGCCAGGAGCTGCTTTTCAAATGGAGAAGAGATGTCTAGAGAAGCCTGGCTGCCTCTGACCCCTAGGATTGGCTCGCTAGAGGGTCTGAATGGCTTCTCTCTTCCACAGATTCTTCCAGTGTTCTCGGGTCCCTCGGTCAGAGGACTCCAGAGGCAGGGAGCGTCCATGCAGCCTGGATCTGGTGTTGCAGAGGCTGGGCTTGCCCTGGGTTTTCTTCAGAATGGATCGTCTTCTCGGTTCTTATTGGCAAGAGAAGTGGAGGAGCAAACCCAGACCCACCAATCGCTGGGATCCTTTGTATCCATAGCGTTCGCTCATTCATTCATTCATTCGTTTGTTCATTCATTCAGTTTGCAGTACGGGGGACAGAACCCAGGGACTTTTTACCCCTGAGCTAGACCCCCATCCCTTTTTAAAATTTATTCTGAGACAGAGTCTCACTAAGTAGCCTGGGGCTGTCCTCAAACTTGCAATCCTCCCGCCTCAGCCTTCTGTGTCACTTGGATTACAGGCATGTGCCACCACACCCGCCTAGCAGTGGTGGCCTTCTGTGGGTCTCCTGCGAAGCTCCAGGACTGTATCAATCACCTGGCTGCCGCTCTTCCTCCTCGGGGCTCAGCTTCCTTCCTGTGCCAGTCACTGTCCTGCCAAGGTCGATGGTGCTAGCTAACTCTTCTCTCGAGACCCAGTTGGCAAGATGGCATCAGTGTCACCAACCAGCTGGTGAGCAGTGGATCCCCAAGCTCTCCCTGGACGCCTGGAAGTGAGACAACGCAGGAACACTCTTGTCCTTGTCAACCGAAAGCCAACTGTCTTCCCCGTCAGTGTCCCAGCTTGGAGGGTCAGAGGGAGCCTGCACCCCTTGACCCCATGTCCAGGTTTGCTTTCGGGTCTTCAGGATGCCACGTCCACAGCTCCAGCTGGGGTGGCACTGCCACCTGATCAGGTTTGTGATGATCCCTCTCTTCCAAGACCAGCTTTTGCCCCAGCCAAACAGGACTATGAAACGGGCCTGGAAAGAATCTCCGCCCCCAGCGTCTTCAGAATTTTTAAAGGTGGGTCTTGGGCTCTGTGCTTCCCTCCCGGTTGACCTCTGGCCTTTGGTTTATTCTCTTGGCCAAAGGGACAGATCCAGGGACTTCTATCTGGCTCACGGGCCAGAAAAATCCACAGGAGGGTTTTGCACTCTTTCACAGGGAGAATATCTCACTCGGGGCTCAGGGCAGCTCTGCAGTAGAACAGGTGCTCAGCGTGAGCGAGACCCTGGGTTTGATCCGCAGCATGCGTGCGCCCGCACTGCACATCCTAGGATTAAAAAAAAAACAAAAACAGAAGAGATGGATTTGAGCCCAGGCTTTTGTCTGTGGGGGCTCAGGAGTCTCAGCCCCTCTGGGATGGGGTGGAAGAGCTGGGATGGGACGAGATCAGAGCCCACGGTGCGAGGAGGTGACGAATATAAGCCTGTGGCCTTAGCCAACAGGCATAATCAAAGGGGCACCTGGCCCAGAACCCACAGGAGAGGCGTGGCCTGAGGGTCCGAGCCCAGGGCGTGGCTAGAGCAGTGACCGGCGACTGGGATCGTGGCCTTTGGCAG